TTGTGTAGTCTGCTAGTAGAGCAAAAGTGTTTGTGATAGTGCAGATATCGTTCCTTGATACGTGGTTCAAGGAATTGACTTATTGATCGTATATTGCGTTATCTTGTTGCAAAGCTGTTTTGTGACAAGTTGCCTACCCTTTTATTATTCGAAGGTATACGAAATATTTTACCGTATCAGTAGCTCCTATCATGAGGTCTAACAGTGTTATATTCAACTGTGCCTCGGATAAATTGCTTCGAAGCATAACATCTGTTAAAAAATCGACTTCATCTTCCTTGGAATTTTCAATTTTCATAGAAGCTAGTTTATTCCTTCTTTCTTGGATGATTTTCAGACCTATGTCATACATAGTATCCCAGTGACTACAGAATTCATTCCAATATCTGGTTTTAATGTACTTATAATATGGAGGAAAGACAATCAGCGATGAAGTTTTGTATGTCATATCAATAAGAGCTTTATGAAATAATTCACCATCATGGCTCGGCGGTTCTTGAAGGCAACCAATGCGCTTATCGAATAGAATACTTAATATTGCTGTATTAATATGAAGGGTTTAATTAGTAAAATTTTACGCATTTCTAGGAGCATTTTAGTTTAATTTTCTACTTTTGATGGCGCAAAATTCAAAATATGATATTTCTAAATATACATTTAACGGTATGCAATAGAATGCCATATACTCGTAGGCCTAAGGTAAACATTAGCTTCAATTTTTCACTAAGATGCTATAGAATACATGTATTGTACGTAAAGATCATATTAAGGTTATTAGCTAGCTATGATTCATTGAACAACATCATTTAGGACTAACAACAGTAATGTCTTATTGTAGAATCCTATTCAACATTTTAGTAGAGTTCAACCTACTTTCTAATGACCATCTAAAGGTTTGGCTTTCAAAACCAAGAATTTCATTTTTAACGCCATGTTTGCCTCGTATGCGAAGTAAGTAAGCTATGAAATCATCAATAACCTTATTCATGATCTTACTATAGCCTTGGACAGCATTTAATTTGAGTAATCTCTTATCGATGGCGCTACGTGTTTCCTTCCATTGCTCATCATTGCTGAAAATAAGAAATTGGAGTCAAATTAATTCCCAAACAATCTGAATAGAATTTGATATGTAGTAGTTTCTACTGAATGTTCGCGTACACTCATATGTTGTGATTGCTATATTATATATTGCTTAATATGTTGCTCAATTTTGTAAATCCATGAGAGGCATGAGCTTTTATAAAACAACAAACAGATTCTTCCGTATGCTAATAAAATACGGTTTTCTAAGTTGTTCTCATAAATGTTGTTCACCATATAGCTGTGGTATCAATACGTGAGAAAATCCTAGCTTTATATTACAGTAAAGTTCATATTTAAGCAATGATTCCTCACATCTGACTCAATTTTTTGACTTCTTTAAGCCCGAACGTAGCATGACATAAAAATTTAAAGTGAAATCGGGTCATTTCGGCTGATTCATGGATAAGTGTATGCGATCATACGTAACAGAAACTGCAAACGTGGTATTGATAGTGTGAATGGAAAAAATACTAGTTTGAATATAACGTTGGAATCATTGTGTGATTTGGATACGGAAAATGATGATTATATCTTTGCACTTGGAAATCTTTGGTCATTATTATCGTGGATGCGATTGGACTTGATGCTTATCGTATAATAAATGATTTTGCAAAATTTATAACTGAGTAGTGATGATTTTACTTACGATAACAGTATGCCCAAGGGTAACTTTCTTTCTTCTCGATAATATGACCAAGGAACCATGTCAAATCTTCGAGGATATTTCCCTTCAGTTCGAAAAGCACATTCAATATCTTTAGGATCGGATAGCATAACTAATTCAAAGCCAGCAAATTTTTTTTTAAAAATGGGCCCTTGTGATTGAAATAGATGATGAAGCGCTTGGTGTGGCTTGCGAGTTTCGTACTTAAAGTTCAATACTAAGTTTATCATATTTCGAAGCGATGAAACCTCGGATCCAGGCATGTGCTCAAATGGCTTAATCGCTTGACCGTGCATTGCAGTTGTGTTAGGATCAAGATCAGCTGGTTTCTCGTGCATGACCTTCTTGACAGAAGAAGGAATTCCTCTAATATGGAAGCGATGATAATTCCAATTTTGTTTTTGCCGCATATAAACATGTCGAATGAAAGATACGCGTTGCATTTTTAAAATTCCGTTATTTTACTACAATAGGAGTTGAAATTGGGTACAAAGATTCAGTTATTATTCCGTGAGGATGTTGAGTTAAGCAACTACACCAAAGCTATAATACTCTAGGTTGCCCCAAGTGACAATTTGTGGTAGTCTAAGAGTTTTATAAGATACCAATTGGACCGTTAGCTATTTTATTCATCGATGCCTTTGATTAGTAAGCAATGATCGTCATGATTAAATAACGGTAATTCATTGACCGGCTCGTATAATGAACTGTAGCGGACGGAAATTATCCCTTGTTGTCGTCCAGCAAAATCCATACTGTACCTACAAAAATGCCTTACAGTACATCATCTACAATACAGTACTGTAGCACGATGGCCGATTCACCAGATTTCCTACGGTACTGTACTGTAGACTGTAGACTGTACACTGTACAGTACAGTACAGTACGTAGAAAAGACGTACAGTACGTACTGTAAACTGTAGACTGTACACTGTACAGTACGTACCCTCGTCCACTGATTAGGGCTTTCAGCCGCTTTCTGTATTGGTTGGACAGGACCGACACCGGTCCCGGACCGGGACCACGACCACCCGGCCATCAATGACAGTACTGTAGAGTACAGTACAGTACACTGTACAGTACAGTACAGTACACTGTACAGTACTGTCAATCTGTCATTAATTATGAAAGAAGGACAAGCATAAAATTCTGCAAATAAATAAATAAATAAAAAAATAGGGAATGGAGCGGTTTTATACTGTGTCTATGTTTTGCCTCTTTTATTGTGACTTAATCCCCAGTTACAGTACTAGTACTGCATCCTGTCCATGATGGAGAAAAATCGCCACTGTAACACAGTGACTTGATAGTCCGCACACACCAGTACGAGTTAAAAGGGGACTGAAATTTTTCCAGTAGGGCAGAGTTGGTTGCAGGCGTATGGTCCAGTCCCGACTGACCGACATGCCCATCGTACCCTAGCGTACTTTACTCAGTCACGAAGTCTACTTTCAGTCAGTTTGTGTTGTTGGATGTTATTATTGAGGAAAGTCTTGAGGAAATCAGTACCACCGAAAAATCGATTCTCCTTATTGGCAAGTTTGGCTAATTTTGATCGTGAGAAAGAATGAATGTGTAACCTTCCAAGTGAGTCATGGTACTGTAGCAGGCAGTTATGTTGCTTTCCATGTCTGATAATTCGATTGATTGATTGATCCAATTGGTACGCAGGCCGACAAGTTGATCATGGATAATTCGACAGTGAGTCAACAATTAGAAGATGATGTCTATGAAGCGGAACAGATCTTAAAACGACGAACTCGAAAGGTGAGCATTCAATTGGATGGTGTAACTCCTGCTAGAAAAATTGCATGCTATCGATTGTAGTTGGAAGTGGATGGAGACTTCTTGCCTCATGCTTGTAGTTTGAAACTGGATGATAGTCAATACAACGTTGATTCATTCATTGGTCAACTTGACTACGTAGTACAGGAATACAGTACAAGATTACTGCTAATAAATATCATACGATTATCGCTGGATGGTCAGTAAAAGGATCTCACCATAGACGAAAAAAGTTAAACTTCCATTTCTTGTATCAAACCAGAATTAATGTTTGAAGAAGGGTGTTGCTAAATGAGGAGTGCCATCACTAATAATTCAAATGTCAATGGATATGGTTTGATGAGAGGGCAGAAAAAATAAAAATATTTCCCCCCCCCCCCCCCCCTAATCATCTCAACTGCAATCTCCCGCCGTTGCTTAATCCTAACGTCGTAACAGTATAGTGTTTTGTTATCAATAATTTTTTTTTCACTCGCCCTCTTTCTCTTACTATTAGATAGTATTCATTCGCTATTGTATGATATTCAGCTCTTGTATGGACATTGTTTAAGACATGGTTATCTATCATTTCGTCATGACAAGATCGACAACGAGAAGCCTAGAACTGCTAACGAGAAACGATCAATGGGTGATTCCAAATTGGAAATGGGCTGCAAAATTCAGGCGCCAGATCACGCTATCAGATCGCGCCGTTTCTACTCTAAAACGTGCAAATACTGCCTCTCGTTTGCAGTGGTAGTGATGTTGTCGATAAGTTTCAAGTTAGGCTAATACATTTAGCAATAGTTACCAATAGCATCAGTAAGGTATGGATGGATAAGGCATCATGAGAAGTGATGAATTGAGGTCACAACTTGACTGCTAGCACCGGATCAATTTCGCGCACAATGCGTGCCAGCTAGCACCCTGTTAATCACTCAACTTTTGTATCAATGTGTAGACCTTGACACTTTTATGAATTGCTTAATGCCTAAAAATGTGGATCATGATCCAAACTATCAAATCTCATGATACGCAATGACCACCACGTGAACAACAAATCAAATCAGTGATGATGTGAAAGCAATATGTATTTTTTTTTCCGATTGTTCGCCTTGTACGTTCTACTAGCCGCTCGTTTGGTGCTCGTCGTAGAGACTGTTTTTCAATTAGCACGGCTTATGGATGGTGCTGTTGATCGCCTTAAGATAAACATTGTTAGACAGGATTGCAAAAAATGGCCTTGAGTTATTTACCAATAGAACAACTATACCCTTATCAACTAGTAGAAACTAGTAACTAACCCCATCAAGTAAAGACAAAAGTAATAAAGTAGGATAAAATGGGGCTGTTCTCTGTTTCAATTTATTTCCTGTGATTATTATGAACTGTGAAAATGTTTACATTATTCGGCTATACTGCAATCTGGATCACATTGACTACAAGTTTTAAGCGCTTCTCTTGGCGATATCCTCAGATACATCACATTTTCTTTCAATGGCTTATTAGCTTGCTGCTAAAACACTCCAACATCTACCACTGTATACTGTAATCAGCCTTTATTGACATTAATCACATTAAATAGACATGGAACCATAGTATTGAAAGACTAATGCATTTGCGATGGAATAAATTGCTGATGAGGGATAGCGCTAATTATTTTACGATGGAACTAATTCCCTTGCCTACGTTAGAAATTCTTTTGTATCCTATGCTGCATAGTTTTCCATGTTACCGACACCATACGTCCTATCGCTAATTACTTGAGGGTAATACATTATGCATGATTACCACAAAGATTGAGAAATTGAAATCGAGTCAAAATTGATATTGCCATTACTCAATCGTTACTGATTAAATAGATGGATTATTATTTAAAGTGGCTTCATGATGTACTGTATTATTACATAGTAATATCAATTGTACGGTATGACTATAGAATGATACGCTTTCAAATTTTGTTATCATAGTCTAAACGCAATCTCTCTCCATGTTTTTGCATCTCCAGTACATCTTGATGCCAATTGTTAGTTTATTAATTTATTCCAGGGTGTCAGACTTAGTTATCTGTGTTAGTTTTTCAATTAGTAGTTTTTTTTACATTATTTAGAATACAACTTCTTGATTGTAGTTTGCATCGATGGTTTCTCACATATACGTATGAATTTTAACGTTAACAATCCGTTAATGATAAAGTAATACTGATAATTAATTAATAAACCATCAGCCAAACTGGCGAAGGAGAGGTTTCGCTCATTATTTCTATTCAGCGATTTTATCTTTTGATATTTATGAAATCATCAATGGTTACTCGAAAGGTTTTTATGACGGCACAATGAAGTCTTAGAAAAGTTAAAAAAAATGCATTATCTTTTTCTTCTGTCCTTCTATTACGTCGTGGTTGCCGTGTAGACAACTAAGGCTAGTCAATTTATCGGATATTGGATTAAATAAGCCATAATAATATTAGGGCTGTCAAAGTCGATAAGGAGGGATTGGCAATATTATATAGTATTACTGGCTAATTAACACCTCTAGTTATGACTGGCATGAATTGTTATCTATTACGCTTTTTATGCAGATATCATTCTAAAATACCTGTTTGCAATGTATTGACTTGTGTTCTTTCAATTATTTTCCAGGGTATCATAGAGTATTTAGTAAAATGGAAAGGTTGGTCACCAAAGTAAGTCTATTTTCGGATTTTTATGATTTATAACTTAATTTTCTCAAAGGAATATTACATCATTTGTTTGCAGTATAGTTTTTTATGCAGGAGGCTAATGTTTTTGCTATTACTCTTGCATTGGTGCTGAAGATTTTCAATATTGATTTCTTTTATCGTATGATAATAGTTGAACGCTGTTGAATCATGCGAGTTGATTGATTAATCACCACTTAAGCGCAGAATGTGATGAAATACAGTACTTCTCTTTCATTCTTCAAGTCTGTTTGAGCTAGGTCTATTATATCGATTATTAGCAATGACAAGTACTGTATATGTCAACTAGTGTAGCGCGGCGAATATAGCAGGAAAAAATTCTGGTCTAGATTCTATCCTGTACACGATGCTTACAATTGACTGTACTGTAAATGATAGCAATACTTCGCTGCTTGAAGGTAGAAGCTAGTAATCGCAATTTTAGGATTAAAGCTTTCTCGACACATGGTCGTGTTGATGGCTATTAAATCGAATCTAGTGCAACGCTAATACATATACGTGCATTAGATAAATAATTTGTCCGACTTTCAGATGTAGTGATTTCAATCTATGTTTAATCTTTTTAAGACATAATACTTGGGAACCGGAGTGGAATATTTTGGACAAGAGATTACTGGAAAGTTTTGAAAGGAAACTGTAAGTGCTGCTATGGTTATAATGACGATGACGATTTATTGAATGCATTATATGATAAGCACTATTTTTAGTGGCATAGAATAAGATTCCAATTCTATTGCAATCTCCTCAAAGACCTTTCTAGAGTAGTACTGTAGGTCACAGCTTGATTAGTATTACAATACAGTTTATCTCGTAGTTCGTCAGTAAATATCAAAATGGGAGTCCAATCTTACTAATCTGTTTAGTATATTGTATGTTATATCGTACTTATTTATTTATATACGCGTAAATATTAGCTACACTATACCCTCACTGGCCTCACATCACGCTGTGCAAAGTGATCCGATTGTCATAGCGTAGGTATTCGCAAGCTATTCAAACTACAGAGTAGCATACCAGCATGTTTGTAAATGCCAGTGGTAATACGTGGACGATTAGAGGCGTAGCATACTATTCCCTTAAAAGTTACGTATTAGTATACTTCTACATTGTGCTTCTTTATAATAATATGGTAATATAGGAATGTTAATTGAACTTAATCAATACAAACAAACTACCCATGGGTTAGTATTTACCTTTGCAGTTAAGATAGTTGTAAAAACTAAATTAGGTTGAGAATTGCTAACCATCTAGAAAGCACAATAGTTGATTGCGCATTCTATATGTGATTTGTTTACAGTTGTTTTTAGGTAACCATAATTACGCATTAATGATTAAGAATTTAAAATTTTTTAATTTTTTCAATTAGCGAGTATCCGCTATGCTACTTTGTTGATATCGACTGTTTCCTCTTGTGATAACAGCTTAATTTGCAGCAAAGTACTTCTGAGAAATCGTTTATATGATAACCAGCACAGAGCGAAATTGAACTTTACTTATTCCTTTCTTTTGTTCAAAATTTTTTCGATTAGCGAGTATCCGCTATGCTACTTTGTTGATATCGACGGTTTCCTCTTGTGATAACAGCTTAATTTGCCGCAAAGTACTTATGAGAAATCGTTTATAAGATAATCAGCTCAGAGCGAAATTGAACTTTTCTTATACCTTACTTTTGTTAAAATTGTCTATGCAGTTAACAGTTTTCAATTGATCGACGTTAGTTGTAACTTAGATCATTTTGATCGTGATTTTCCAATGAAAATATAAAATTATGTCTATTCTAGTAGTGATCGTATTTGAACGTTTTATTGGCCAAAAATAAAGTCTAAAATTTGTAACAAAACTTTCAGGCAAAAATTGAAAATTAATCCTAATATGAGAAAAATGACTTCGGAGAAACATAAAAAATTGAAATCGAGATCGGTAAGTCGGTATCTGCACCTATTGTTACTTAGATTTCTCCATAAATGCATTGTACCTGCTATCGATAAAATGAGTTGTGTCTGCATATCATCCCTTAGTATTAGTTCATTTAGCACGAATGTAAGAATACATCATATCTAAGACTGATGCACAAAGTATTTATAGTTCACTGTATACGTATATTTGGGCGATATATCATTAATCTTGAAGTTACGTTAACCAATGTGAGTAATTATAGTCGTATCGACAACGTTGCTTTGCATACTCTTAAGATCGGTTGTAAATCGCCGATTGTTTCGTTCTCGCCCAGAAATGTAATATTTACAAATTCTTTTCTATTGAACAATGTTATTGCATGACATAACATTGGTGTTAGAATTTTAAGAACATTGTTGTAGAAGGACTCACTTTTAAAAATGAAAGTCTAATATAGACTATAGGGATTTGAATAGCACGGCTTAATGGGATAGTAATCGACTGAGTTTAGAATTGTCTAATTATTTCATGATGGTAGTCATAGATAGAAGATGGATAATCGATTTTCACTTTCTGAATAGGTAAGTCGTCATGATCTCATACATGAATCATTGGGTAACAATCCTACAAGTAATAACCTTGCTAAAGTTGGTTGCAGTCATTCAATAAACAAATCAGACAATCATCATGATGACGAAAGAGAATTGCTGGAATTAGCGGAGGAGACTATCGACGATACCAGCGTTAATAGCGATATTGGTGGTAAAAGCGAAGCATCTCTTGATTCTGTTGGATCGAGCGGTTATAGACCTGCTAACTCTGTCAGCAGTTATGGTGATAGTGGAAGCTACTGGAACGAAAACTCCACTTTAGATAAAGTTTGTGTTACTGATGTAACCGCTAATATGGTTACCGTTACAGTTAGAGAATGCTATACTGATAAAGGATTTTTTCGAGATCGTAACGAGTCTGGTTCTTAATAGCTGCAACTATATCTACGTATGCACAAGAGTAATTGATGACATCCTATCCTTATATCAGCGCCGAATTACATCATATGATTTTGCATTGAATTACTTTTCCTTAGTATTGTATACAAATGCTCGTTTGACGAGGTCCTATCATCTTTACTCAGGAACATATAACAGCTTTTATTGTTTAATTATAATGCTCCATATGCCAAATGATGTCGATAACATGTATATATATCTATCTATATGTACGTGTATATATATATATTGTTGGAAAAGGTTACCACCATATAATTATATTTTACACTGATTGATTGTTTGGGAAGGATTAGATGAATTATAGCAGAGACTTTATTAATTGATTATCATTATTTAATGTAAAGTAGCGTTAAGTTTATTACATTACATTATCGTCTTCGAGATTCTAAGAATGCTATGTAATTGGTTATTTAATAGATGCAGCTAAAAGCTTGTTTACTGTAATCAGAATAGATCAAATACAACTAAGAGGTGTTTGATTATGCTATTAGAATTTATTGTTGGAACACCGTGGACTGGTATCTTTCTACTATTTCAACATCAGAAGGGATTTTGTTTCGTTTGGCAATTGGATGTGTTGAAATGGTGAAGAAATGATCCCAATCGCTTTTACAGTATTCATTTTGTCTATCTCAACTTCTGCAAGTCGTATATAAACAGTAGTATTTGCCACAGGCTTTATTGATGCACTTTTGTACATATGAAGAGACGTTTTAGCTATGCATCCATGAATTATGACTGAAAGTATGATAGTTTTGGAGTAGCATTTCTCGATTAGGATTATTGTACTTCCATGCTAAAATTGTTTTGGCAAAATATTTGTATCATAATGAGGCGATACAATGTCCGGTATGAGAATCTGCAGTAACATGTAGCATTTTCTTTTAACAGTTAACTATCAATGATCGACGTATTGGTTCCCTATCAGTTGCTCTGAAATGCAATTTCAATTTCACTCTAACTGTAATGCTCCTAGAATGACTTACAAATCTACCTTTATTTATATCTGTGTTCTATTGTAATCAACATTGTATATGACAGTGATAGCACTTCTATCTGTAATTGATAATTAATAAAATCATTGGAGTACTGTGCTACTCGTACAATCATCTCTTGATCTATCTTTGAAGTGTCGTTTGACAATATCCGCAGTAGCAATCCTGTCAATATGGCTGATGCCATTGAAGCAAATACGCGTGTACTGTAAGTTGTTGTCGTTTCAATCTGTTCTATTGAATCATCAAATTGACCGTAGACGTATGAATAAGAACGATTTAGGTTACTGTATCGATAAAAATGGATTCTAATTTTTGCATCTGAATTTCCACCCGATACATTTTGTCCAAAGTCATTTCGTTGTCAATGGAAATGAATCCGATACGTACAGCACTGTCCAATATCGTGATATTGTGCTTCTGTACTGCACTGTATGATCCTTTTCCAATCCGATGAATCAGCAGATATTGTACTGTACAGTATTCTATGCGAGCACTTTTTACGAAATCCGGTCAATTTTTTATTATTGGAAACAGTAAGCTCTCCACTAATGTGCTGTCGATTGATGTATAAAATTATGTTACATTGGTTAATACTCAGGAATTGGAAAGGAAAAAGATCACGCTGTATATAGCAGGGACTACTGAGAGAGAGAGAGAGCCTGTACTGCACGTACAGCACACTACACTAATGTCGATTGATGGATATATTATGTTACATTGGTTAATACTCAAGAATTGGAAAGGAAAAAGATCATGCTGTACAGTGCTAGAAGAGAACTACAATATACTTATAGCAGGGACTACTGAGAAAAGAGAGAGAGAGTCCGTCTCTCAGTAGTCCTGACAAGAGTTGATCTTGATGTTCTGTACAACTGTTCAATTCACTGTTTTAGACTGTAAGTACAGTACTTTACTGCATGTACACAGCACACTACATTAATGTCGATTGATGGATATATTATGTTACTCAAGAATTGAACATTATATTCAAGAATTGGAAAGGAAAAAGATCACGCTGTACAGTGCTAGAAGAGAACTACAATGTACTATAGCAGGGACTACTGAGAGAGAGAGAGAGAGACTGTACTTCACGTACAGCACACTACACTAATGTCGATTGATGGATATATTATGTTACATTGGTTAATACTCAAGAATTGAACATCAAATTCAAGAATTGGAAAGGAAAAAGATCACGCTGTACAGTGCTAGAAGAGAACTACAATGGACTATAGCAGGGACTACTAAGAGAGAGAGAGAGAGAGAGAGTCCGTCTCTCAGTAGTCCTGACAAGAGTTGAACTTGACGTTCTGTACAACTGTTCAATTCGATATTCTAGAGTGCACAGCACACTACAGTAAAAAATGTCGATGGCGATGTAATGGGCTATAAATAGATTTGATCGTCAGTACCTAGGGAAGGTATTGCTGATGAAGCAATCTTGCAGCAAATGATTCTATCGGTCTCTATTGCGAAATGAATTCATCACTGCAATTCCCACATAATATAGATAGATATTAAAACATGGCCTAGTTGCATATAGAATGGATAGTAGTATATTCAATATTCTTGTTTACATTTCTATCGGTATAGAATGATATACTGCATTATAATCAATTGTTAAGGTAGTTGGCAAAACATGGCTTCATGTTGCTGTTCCTAGGGTGCATGTCATCGGGTTCTAGAGTAGAAATGATTTCATGCCAGTTCGTATGCATGCTGGTCGTTGTATATATATATTATTCCTTATTGAATCAAATAAATGGATTCATTAAGAATTATTCTCATTGAATACTAACTACGGTAATGAATCAAGAATGATTAATAGACATCATGAATGATTTACCTTCTTTATTTGCAATAAGTTAATAATTTATTATACACTGCTTTTGGCTTTAAAGTGATATATTATTATTTTTTTTTTTTGGGGGGGGGGGAAATACGGCAAGATGATTAGACTAGCAAATTCTAGCCGTCTAAATGTGCGATTTTCTTGTATCTCTTACGGCCTGATCTCACTTCTGCCTTTATTGTCGTCCTTTTCTATAGCAACATGAGCTAGAATACTTGATAGTACTTCTATAACATAATGATATAACATAGGCTTGGCTGTAACATATATATAAATAGAAGCTTGGCTTTCCTTAGGAACTACTCAATAACAAATTGTCCTTACTGCATACAACCAGGATTTATAATGAATAAGATGCTATAAGATATCTTGCTGAGTATTTCCTGCTTGTCTTTGCAAGCACAAATCCGAGCTCTTAACTGACAAATTTGGGAACAAGCTTGATTGCTACCCCTATTCTCTCCATTGTATCATACCATACTGCGCAACAACTTCCATGCTATATCGACCCATTGCGTGAATATGAAACACTATCATCGAGTCCAGACTACGCTCAATTCATTGTAGCGACTGTAAAGGTATAAAAGGGAATCCCTGTAGTCTATTCCTTTCAAATCTGAAGCCTGCAACCGCCTAGTTTGGGCAATGATTTTATCCAGGATCGTTAAGCAGAATCAAAGATGACTTGTACATCAAATTCTAGATAGGTTCAGAGCGTGCTTCTACATCCAGTGTTGACTAGGAAAGGAAATGAACCTTTGATTGACAACCATTTAGAAGATTACAACAGTTTTAGCCAATACCAATCCATAGACTATTATACACGGTGTACTGCAGTAAGTTGATTTTGTCATCGCTGGTTATGCCGTGCTACTACGATTAGTTAACTTTCCACCATGGCAACACCAACAGCATCTGTAGCGAATGAAACCGATGATCTGATATTTCTAGAAACACCGACAGCACAAGCAATCTCCGGTGTTTTTGCTTGGCTTGGAATGGTCATTACAATTTACCAGGTAAGGATAGAGAATGAGGATTAATGGAAAGCATATGGAAAATACTTCCTCCCCTCTCCTCATACGTGCATCACGTATCGAAAAGATGGTAGTACCTTGTTGCTCATCATCATGATCGGTGGTCATCAAGGTGTGATGGCGTCCCAAGCGCCAAACGCCTAAAATTAGAGCATGATTTTAGTCACGTTTGATGACTGATTTGAATGCTAGTCATTTTAGTGGATTAAAGTGTCATCAACATGTCGATTAGTTATGAAAAATGCGAATAATGTGCTCGTATTCTATTGGAAACCACATTGAAAAATTGCAACTCTTGTTTGATAGCGAGCAATCGTACCGTATTGTAAGATAGATCAATAGACGTCTTGAATAGACTTGATAATTTTGAAAAGTACGATCGAAATGGAAATCGTTCCATCATCGTAGTATACTAAAGGAGGTAGAATATAAGCCAAGAGTGACGATAATGTGAAGGGATTGTAATAACTGTTATTCTTTCTACGACTATCTAGATTTATCAGCATCTCCGATATTACAGTAAACCTGCTCAACAACGATGGATCGTCCGTATCTTATTTATTGTTCCTATCTATGGCCTTTGCTCATGGATTAGCCTTTTATTAATAGCTGGCGATTACTATATCTACTTTGAAAGTATACGTGGCTGTTATGAAGGTAAATGACTCAACATACGTAGCATGATTGATTTTCTAGGTTAATTTAATTTCCTGTTAGATACGCTCTACAGCTCGCCGCAAATACATCTTGTTTTGAGCCATTTCTGGATGTTTGTAAATTAAAAATCGAAATTTATTAAACTATAATTATAATCCCCCACCATACTCTACCGTAGACTTGAGCCGTGCTACATGACAGAGATCATTTAGTGATAACCTTTTCCATTACTGACAACTTGTTTCTTCAATCTTGAACATCCTCTACGATTAACCAGTTGATGGATGATAAAAGTATTCAATTGCAGTTAACCTGATTAATGGCCATTTTATGATGAATTAAGCATTTGATCAAATACGTACGCGTACTTTTGATGACCATCAAAGTGGCATACACTATAGTGTACGGTGCACTAGTACGCTATCTACGTAAGATTTGCCGATATAATTTTTATCTTTGCTCATGAACGACAAGGAAAGCTTGCATAAGGTCTGATCTATATATCGTTTATGCCATCAACATGGATAGCCTAGTACTTCCAGACCCTAAAGCTAATAGTATTATAGTAGAGTATTATAATGCATTTACAGTGCTTCAGTATCTTGAAAAATTAATTAGTGGATACCGAAGACAATAGGAAATTCTCGTATTGAAAGCTATAACCAAGCGAAATTGATGTTATCCAGCAATAGTCGACAAATCTAACAATGGATCACCTGGACTCGATCCGATTTTTTTCTTACTGTACAAACTAGTAGTAGAAGAACTGCCATTGACGGTATTTTTTCTGTCTTACTTCAATGCACCACAGTCAAAGACAGGTAGATCAGTAGTAGAATAGTGTTTAATGTCGTAAAATGGGAAAACGAAATTATGGTTTCGACGCATAGTAAAAAAAAAACTTTCTCCATCCAAGAAAGATAAATTGATAGCATTTCATGTACTGTATAATGATGATAACGTTACTGTAGTTCTTGTAGCTATAGTAAAGATATTAAGATTCGTTTAGCTAATAATTCTCTTACTCATATTAACCATCAAAAAGTTTAAAATAATCCTTATGTATTGAATTGCTTTGTTGTCAATCGTGACAATTGAAAACATCACGATAGAATGACGGTCTTAGAATACTGTAGAATGCTATAGTAATGCATGGTATCTGTCATAAACTGTTTACATTTCAGCCTTCTCGTCAAACACATTCGATGTTGACTAGTATTCATATTGTATGATATATAATTGACATATTCTACACCAATAGATTGCTAATTACAATGCAATTATGTTTTAGCGTTCCTTATATATAACTTTCTGAGCTTGAATTACGAATATCTCGGTGGTGAGCCTGCTATTTTAGATGAACTAAATGGAAAGCCAGCAAGGTAATGTTTCGTAATTAACTTTCGGGTATATTTTCTACTGCAGTATGAATGAATATGTAGATTGAACAACAGAATTTAATAGAATTAAAAAAATTGTCGATGTAGCCCAAATCATATGCCGTCAATCATAAATCTTCAATACAATTGCTAGGCGTGTTAGCTTTATGAATTTAAGAACAATTAGTGCTATGCTGTTGATTCGTATAGATACGTGCACTTATGAAATCGGAAGCATCCTATCCAACACTGTCAATTAGAACCAAATAATTTGTTTAATAGCACTGAGTAAATGCTTTGATCTTATATAGTTAAATGGAAAAGAATTTAAAACATTGGTTTGAATTTGCCATCCTAGATCACTATACTATACCTGTAACTATTAGTACTGTACTTCACATTGAAAAAATGAAATAGGTCGTCTTGAAGATGTCATGCCTATGATCTTTCTAATTCTATGACTTACCAAATGGTGACAAATTTTCATGAGCATATTTGTTATTGTAGATTTAGCTACTGGACGTTAACTTGTTGCTTGAAGAATAAGAGCTATTCCTTGCCTTATTTTCGATTTTGCAAACAGGTAATTTTAAGTTATATAGTAACTGTGTTGGTACAGGTATCATGAGCGATTAACCTTGTGGTCGACAAGCTCCCAACCTTTATTTGGTTAATCATGGCGAAAAACTACAATTAACATACTTACTGTTTATTACTTTTGCTCTACTTGTATAATCAGCATACATACGATAACGTGATGCTTTAATTTTAACACATTCGTCCTTCTTCTATTTAGGCTACATTGCAATTCTGCATTATTAAGCCTCTCATGTCAATTCTCTCAGTTATTTTGTATAGCTTAGGAGTATACCATGATGGAAACTTGAGGTAAATTTAGCAGTTAAATTTGATATTTTCAGTCTAATATAAGGTCGCAAAATCAAAGTAAGCATGGCCATCTTACGTAGTTTATTACCTCAGGATTATCGTACATACTAAAGATGCATAGCTTATTTGTTCGGTACTGTTTGAAGAACACAGCGCTCGGTAGTATACGGTACATCATTGAGTTTTCAAATGCTGACTTGGTCGATTGCAAGGCAGTAAATGCTTTAGTATTCTATAAATTTGTTTAGTAAATTTTCATGACGAAAAAGTCGTAGTAGTTACATTCTAGATTATTCATAAACTTCCTTACAATATGAAACTTTGCGTGAGCCTTGTTCACTTTACAATGTAACATTGAATTGTACGATCACATTTCCAACGCCTGCTAACATTAAATATTACGGCATTGTTGATGTAAGACTCCTACGGCTCTATTCGTTGTAAAAAGTTTCTCTTTACCATTAGCTATCAATAACTTTAATTCGATTAGTAAAGTTCTTTATCCCTTAAATTTATTCATATATACATATTTTCATTTTTACTTTCTAGCCCTACCGAAGCTTATCTCTATATTACCGTTGTATATAATATATCAGTTACTTTGGCATTATACGGATTATTATTGTTCTACATGGCCACAAGAGAATTATTAAAGCCTTATCACCCAGTTTTAAAGTTTATCATAATAAAATCTTTACTGCTGTTTTACTTTTGGCAAGGTAAGATGCATATAATGCTTTAAATTAACGTATTGGTACGAATAAATATCCATAAATTCTTAGCTCTTCTTCATCATTACTTGATGACCAGTTGGATAATGGCGAGAGTGTCGATATTTTGTAACATGACAGATTATTTTTATTATTATTATCTTTTTCTATTCATTAGGTGTTTTATTAGCGGTATTAGAAAAAACCAACGTGATTAAAAAATCTCATTCAATCTCTGCTGGTGTCATTGCTTCTGGTTATCAAGATTTCTTGCTTTGTGTAGAAATATTTTTCCTAGCTGTCGCTCTATTCTTTGCATTCCCGTATAATGTATACAGGGAGGATTATCAGGATGAATTTAATCAAGCTTTTCGGTTAAGGACAGTAACAACAAATCTCGGTGAAACAATAAACCCGAAAGATATCTTCACAGATGCGCTACATAATTTTTCACCATCGTATCAGAATTACGTCCAATATCGAAGCGAAAACGGTCGCTCGAATAAATTATCTGATCATCCTAAAGATAAAAGGAATCAAAACTCAGATAGAGTAAAGTTGTTAGGATCTGATGATGAGGGTTAACTAAATACCTAGGTACATCGGCTCTGTTAGTTAGATTGATAAACAAGAACGGCAGTAGCGACTGCCTCTCGTCTCTTCATTATGCTATTTGCAACATTTGGATCGTATACATCGTTCTAGAATTAATACTGGCCGCTATATGTGCTCTCTATATAAGATAACGACTGTGATTATAGTTACTGTAAAGCTCTATCAAATTTAAGATGAAATTATGGTATTGTATATATAAGTAAATCGTTATTTGGTTTATGCTTTCAATCGATTTATGAATATCACGAACTCTGCACTTTACTCTTGTAACACATTTTTGAATTGCACGTTATAGGGATACTATTTTAGCGCTACAACTAAATCACTATTTCCCTAAACTTGCTTTCATTCGCCTAGAATATCTGTGACATAACTTTATTATATCTTTTTGCGACTTTCAGTCGCAGATAAATAAACTAAATATATTAAAACAGTGGATGATTGTAATCATCAATCGCATTTATTTCTAAAGGACAATAACATAGCCTTTCTTTAGGAATTGTTCGATTGGATTAAACTATAAATTAAATATCGTTATTTAACTGCGTGTCGGATATAATCGATTCTTTTCTATTGGAGAGTTGATATAATTAGAACGACAGTCTTTAAACTTTCGCAAACTACAACTGTTATGATATTATGATACTAATAAGCGTTTTGTTATATCTATATTTATCGTTCAGAATATGTTCTTGCTGTTTATAATTTCATACGATTAAATAGACTACTCATAACGTAGAAAGTATGCTTTCCTTTATTACATTTATTCTTAAATTTAAATCGTTGCTCAGCAACGATAATATGATTCTGAGAAATATTTTTATTAAAATCAGCTGCTACTAATATCTATGATATATAAATAAGTGTTATAGATACGAATATTTGAATATAAGAGAAAATTACCTTGAAATAAACTTGCAGCCATGATAGCAATCTGGAGATACGCGTACCTGTAACTATGTTAAGATATACATGTACATAAAGTGAAATAAAGAAATTAAATATTATTTTGATGATTATATCCTTGAAGGCTGTAGATAAAAGGACTAATTGCAATGTGTTAATTAAGTTAACTTTAAGATCATCATAGAAATTATAAGCAGTACTTCATAATATCAGTAAACAAAGAAACATCATAACTAGTTAAGCTCATCTTTAATTTTTACTTTTGATGAAATTAAGTAAAATCAAGGGGTAGCAACCTATAACTTATTTATTATCAATTAGATAATTTACAGTTGAAATGATACCTTTTAGATGTACATTGTACATGCAGTTTACATAATATAAATATTATCTACTAAACAATACCTTCTTAGTGAGAATATAAAGAAATCTTTGTTACCTGATTTCAATAATTAAATGAAGTAAATTTTAAAAGCAAGCCTTACGTGTTAAGAATCATTTGTCTACCTAAGACAATATCATCATTATTTATTCGAGTTTTAATTAATTTTTATGAAGTGACTAGAGTCATTTAATTTATACCAATAACTAGGATAACTACGGCGTTCCATGATATTACTATTATGGATAAGATATGCAATTATAAGGTAAATTAAGAACATACCCATAGTTATATCATTAAATTTTTTTGGGGGGGACATGTTTAGATTATTTGGAAGAGTGGCCGAATATAAAGTTAATTTACACCTTAGGTTGTAATGCATTAGAACTAACCGTCTTATCTGATTTTATCTTAAGAGGATGTATTACAATACTTTAAATTCATAGAGATGAATATTCTAGTAACACTGATAGCTACGTATGTATATTCATAAATGCGTATCAATTATTGTTATTGAAAGCGATTCTCAAAATAATCGATTCAAATTATATAAAATGGAACATGCAAATATAGCCAATATGGCATTTGATGACCTCATTGGAAGAGATCGATGAGGTAAAAGTAATCAATGGTTTGAATGATTTAATGTTATATAAATAAAATCAATACTGCTTTGATGCTGAGCACTTTACAATTAGTTTAGAATCAACATTATTGCAGCTGGTTTATATTTTGAGCGTTGCCGGATTATGATTGAGCAATTAACAAATTTTCACAATAGAGAAAACGATGAATGCCATTATCAGCAAATGTCGTCATATGCAGATATGATAAACAATATATATTTGGAAATGTTTATCCTTACCGTTAAAAGATAGTAAAATCAGTAGTTGAAATATTATTGAATAATGTGAAATTGAACACTTGGATGTACAGATAGACAAGGTACACAAAATAAATAATAC